CTGACTTACTCATCCCCTAGATACCTTATTTAGGGTCAAGTCAGGTTAATCAGATTGATTTTGTATTTGAAAGTCTGATTCACTCTAGCAAGTATGAAGGTCAACCTCCAGCTCTTTTGATATGTAAGAGAATAGAGAAAGAATGGGAGAATAAGGAAAGACAGCTTAATACAAAAGATGCCAAAAAAAAAAATCATCATATTTTCTTATAGTTCAGAGTAGTGACAGCCAAGGTGAAAAACATTAGAAAAGTGTTATTTTTACTCTGGGCTGTTGAAAAAGAAAAAACTACAAATAAGATCATGAACTTAAGAGATCTCTCTAGTGTTTTTTAATTTCTGAGAGTTTCTGAACTTTTTTCATGCTATCTTTTAGGAAGCCAGTGCTATGACAGTGTGTATTATTAGTGCTCAGACTTCTACTGGGGAAATTTTTGTGTGCGTCAGGCTAATTGGATCTACACATATATTCAGCAGCCAAGAAAATGTAGCCCAGGGCACAGTTCTAAGAGTAGATAGTTCTGAGCTACCTTCCCAATGGAGAAAGTAAAACATGGTCTGTACATCTGGAGTCTCAGAAAGGATTTGTAACCTAGAACTGCAATACTGAGGATCTAATTTTTGCCTGTTTCATCTGATTATTACTTGAATAGTCATTTCTCTTACAGTTTTTTTTTTTTTTTTTTTATTCTGCCACAGCTAGCACGCTACTAAGCTTTCCTTTTTTTAACCTTAAAACCATACAAGTTTAAAAGCTTAGATAATGAAAAACAGGGTAGCAAGGGAAGTGGAAGAGATGGAGTACTCATTGCCTATCTAGCAGAATGTTTTGGGGGTGACATTTAGAACAATCCAGCTCACTGGAAGCCAGGACAGCATTCCCATGTCCTCAGCTCCCCAGAGGCTTTCCCATCCTTTAAAGCAAAATATTAAAAAAAATCATAGCTACCATTTCTAATAACAGTAACTGAAATAAATTTTACATGAAATAGAAAAATAGAAAAATAAACTTTACATTAAACCTGTTTTGAGGAGAGCTACTATGTGTTTTGCCTAAACACAACCAAAAGTAGGACTGCAGTTATGTAGCAATGTTGTACATCAGTATAATACCTAACAAGAAAATATTGATTTAAGGACGGTAATTAAGCACTGCAGTAACAGAATCAGACAAGAAAAACACACAATTTGAGTGGGTTAACTGCCAGCAGTCCATGACTTCATATTACCATTTTATTTTTTTAATAATTTTTTCACATTAGCAAGGAGTAATAGATGTTGCTTTTCTTCTCATATATTAAGTATAGGAGACTGAAGGTAAGGGCTTCAGATATTTCCAAACACTTTCCATTAATTTTAGCCCTAGAGAAGATGTGTCACTCTGTTTTTGCATTTTCCTAGAGAAAGGCAGTATAGCAGTATAGGCACCTGGTTTGCACCTCCTGGCAGCTTGTGATGTGGACATGCCTGCAACAAATTACACATGACTGAACAGCAGACAGGAATTTCCCTGTTAGCCTTGTAATGCAGTCCCAGAATATGGCGATGAGCAGCTGACCATGAGTCTTGTTTGGTTTCATCCTTCAACTGCCCCTGCAGCAGAAAAAAATCCAGAAGTGCCAGAAGACCCACAGCTTGCACACCCCACCCCACACACACCCAGCAGCAGCACGGCATGGCCCTGGCAATGCCAGCCTGCCTCCAGCTGCACGCTCCAGGGACACGTTTGGGGGTTACTAGACACCTCTGCCAGAACATTTTTTTGTCATTTGCTACTCATTTAAATAACACTTCAAGGCTCCGTCTATAAATTTCTGTGGTGAAGGTTTTTCCTAGCTTGCATTTACCCTACATACTCTGTGACCAGGGAGCAGGCAGCACCGCTCACAAGCTGCAGCCATTCCAGAGACAGCAGACTCCGAGATGCAGTTGACTGGGAGAACAGGAACGGCTGCATGTTCTGCTTCGGGTGCACACAGAAATACACATTTACCACCTAGTTCATCACAGAATTTTTATAATTTAGACTATTTAAACCATTGTCCTCTTTTCCATATTCTTCGTAATTCCTGCAGGCAGGAGAGGATGTGGGCTTTTTAAAGATTTTGATCTTTTCATTATGCTGCCTTCCAGATACCCACCACTCGGTCCACATCTTGGTAGGAACTCCGGGCACATGGGAGAAGCAGAAACCTTACCAGTGTTGTAGAGAGCAGACCCATTCCTTCACATGCTGTGAACCATGTATGTTCACTATGCTGTGAAGTTTCTCTTCCTTGTCAATGTTCATCTCAAGATAAGCTGTACCCCATTTCCCAAAGCCCCTTTCGAGATATTCATCCAAGCAGTTCTTACTCTTTTAGTTATGCAGTTGGCCAAACCCACCTATGCAGAGACACTACCATCAAGGGGTATTCCCCAACTGTCCTTTTTTAAGACTTTAAAAAAGACAACATCCTAGAGAGTTCTCAGTACACTGGCCCTTTTCTTCCAGTTTGCCTCAAGTTTAACAAGCATACTGGTTCTCCAGGATAGCAATGAAAAATTCTAAACAAACTTACTCCACAAGAGGCTTAAAATAGTACTGTAGTGGGAAGCTAGATGTTTGTGCATGTTTTCACATTTTGGAAAAGCCATTGTTTCCTTGTGAAGAGAAACAAAAGGATTAATTTGATGGAATTTTTTTTAGAAGCTGTTTTTTACAGCCAATACCAGACTATCAGCATAATAATCCACAAGTATCAACTTGACAGACAAGCTACAAAGGCACAAATTGTGTAAGGAACATAAAACCTAACTAGGGATGCACAGCTACCACTGGTTCCCAGAGGTGTTCTTCCCCAGTAACTGCAATAGTCATACTAGTAAGAGGCATCAAGGGAGCTTACAAGTGATTCTCATACTCACTGGCAGATGCTTCCCAGAAACAGTTTTCATAGAGCAGGCATTTTCCCTGACAGCACTAGCTACCTCAGATACAAGGTTTATTCCTAAATACATGATAGCAGCTAATAGTTATTACTGGGTATCCCCACACAATTCTAAACCACAATCAAGTTTTTCTCCACCCAAGACAACAATGGATCTCCAGCTGCATTTGTGGTTGTCAGTGTCATACCAAGCTGATAAACACCACCTCAGCCACCAAAAGAAGACAGCTTCAGAAATTATCATGATCAAATCATTATCAGCCCTCTGTTGTGCCTGTACCTACTCAGAGAGCTGTCATACAGTTCTGCGGGAGAAACAGAACAGGTGAGCACTCCTCAACCATGCTTATTGCTAAGGCATATAACCTAGCTTAAGGCACATGGTTCAAATTGCTGCCAGAAAGTTTGGAGCAACCCAGTAGAAATTACATTGGAGCAGAGCAAAAAGCTCTCCCGAAAACCACAGTGCTGACTGAACTTTAGAAGCGGCAGCTACTGACAGACACCCTGACACAGAAGAGTCACAGCAACCTAACTCAGCCATGCCTACAGCTTTTACCTCATTTTCTATGAGCAGTCTTAACATGACATTGAAAGATAACCTGCTTTCCCCTTTAAATTTGTAAAATTCATGATCACCTAGATGGAAGCAGTCAAGTGCCCCTGTGGCTGCCTTCAGAGCTGTTGTAGGAACGCTTTTAACACATGTATTCCTGTTTCCCAGAACAGGAAAGACACCCTTCAGAGAAAGAACAGCAAAACCCTGGAGCAAGTTGCAGAGAGGCTGCAGAATCTCTGTGCTTGGAGATACTCCTCATGTGACGGTTCAAGACCCTGGGCAACCTAACACAGCTCTGCAGCAGCACTGTTATAAGCAGATTGGACTAATAGACCTTCAGAGGTCCCTCCCAACCTGAATTATGCTACAATTGTTTGAAACCTAATCCACTTAACCTGGTGTGTACCTATGACCTAGATCTGCTCCTACCCTACAGACATGGGGCAGTCCTATTCTCAAACTACAGAAGAGTACAATTCATAGATAGAGTTGTCTCTAAGCATTTAGCCTATCCTCAAAGTTAGAGAAAGCTGGAGAAATTCTTCCAAAAAAGCATTAAAAATTTACAAAAATTGTAAGAATTTGAAGCTTTTACAAGCACTGCCTTAAATATCTTCAGTATCTCTGTCTTGATAGGGTTGAGTTCAGCCTAGATCAAACCAACAATCTAATTAACAGTCACTGGAGAAATTCTAGCAGTGCACTAGTACAGTTAGTATTAATGTTTACTGTGCCCCTCCTCCACTGTACTATTTGCTCTAGAACACCCTCAAATTTGCCAGTCAACTTTTCTTCTTATTTTATGCTAAAGAACTGATTGCTTTATTTACTCTAGTGACTGAGAACAAGCTGGCTTTAATCACCTGAAACATGAAGCAATGTTGGGAGACTACTAAGTCTTAATCATGATGAACACACATATGTTGACTTCATGGGCAGCAAGATAAATATACAACCACTCATTAATCATATTCACATGCTTAGAAATCTTCATTCTTTGCAGGAAGTACGATGTTCCATTAAGCTGTAACAGAGAAAAGCCACTGGAAAAGAAAAAAATCTATTAGATGAAGGTGCCAAGTTCAAATGAGACTACTTCTAAGTCCCTGCAGTTGCAGAGGACAGTGTTATCACCTCTACATAGTAAAATATGTCACCCTTGGATGGTGATCAGGAATCAGATTCCTCTATTTGTAGATGTATTACAGTCAACTTCCAGCAGCTGACAGAAAAGATGCAATATAATCAAGTCCTCAAAATTAATTTTCACACAGGTTTAATCTAATCATTTATTACAAGGTTAATTTGCTTCACTAAAGCAAGAAAGGAAATTCCTATACCAAAGACATCATTTTCTCATAGGGATTCAGCGCTCTTCAACTCATCTTTGAAGTATTAACATAAACCGCATATAAAGAAAAGAGGTTCACAGTTCAAAGATTTGCATATTGATCAACACAACGTACATTTACTGGAAGTAAAAAGCACTCCAATGTAGAACACACAATACAGTCCAGACCACCACAACACAACATAAAAACTGCTTTATTGATTGCAGTTAACATGTTACAATTAAATTATGATTCCAAGCATTAAGCCAGCTGCTTCTAGTAAGCATAAGCTGCCATTGTAGTCACATGGAATTGGACGAAGAGATGCTAGTTACTGAGGCACCCTGAACTGGAATCATTTCTGCTTCTTGGGCATTGAAGCAACATATAGCTCATAAATAACATAGGCTGTTCCTGAATTAAGAGACAGAAAAGATATTTTCAGTATGGCAAACAGAATTCCTTTCAAGTCAGATTTCCTTTCCCAGCTTGTTCCAGAAGAAATATTGACAATAAGCAGCTGCAATTCAGACACATTTCTGTAGCCACATTTCAATGATTTTTTTTTTTTTTTTTTGCAATTCATATTTTAGAGAAAAAAAACACAATTCTTAAATACTTCTTCAGAGACTGCATACAAATAAAGGAATAGGGGAAAAAAAAAAAGGGGGG